CAAACTCTTAAAACAGTGTCAGGTTTAGGGTAAGCACTCAACAAGTATTAGCTGCATGTAGTTATAGGTTCATAAACACATATGTAAAGCACTATATACAGTCTTTTAAAAAATAAAAAAATTATAGAAGCACTTTTTTTCTACATGATTTAAAGAAAAAAATCAGGAATTTGGATTACAATAAAATGATCTATTAAGATGAGTACATAATTTTTTTCTTACTATGAATTTCATTACTAGAAACATGATAACATTTTAGTGAAATATCAGTATAAATATACATTTTAATAAGAATTTTTGTATCAATAATCTTAAAACTCAAATCATTTTCTGAAACTTATTTGCTTTGCTACAATACACTATTATTTTGCTGACTTAAAAGGTACACGATATTTCATCCAAAACTATTTCTCAATGGTCACTGCCAAAGAGAGCTAAACTAATTTATTCTTCTTGTTCCTCCATAGGCATCACTATTTCTTAAGACCTGATTTACTGATGTTTTCAGAACTTTCCCTAAATACTTAATTTTATAGTACAATTTATTCCAGCATGGATTCCAAAGGAAAGAGATGAGCAAGAGGGTGATTTTATAATTTATGGATATAAGAACCAATACCATACCATGTCCTCTCCTCTAAACTAACCAAGTAACTTGAAGAAGTTACTTAACTTCTCTATGTCTCAGTTTCCTTAACACTACTAGCAACACAGGTTTATTATGAGGATAAAATTAGTTAATTTAGAAATGTGCCTGTCACATAGGAAATGCAAAAATGTATATTTAAAAATATTTAGATTATAAGTAAAACTGTAGTTCAAAAAAGAAAACTCAATTTACACTATTTTATTTGATATAATTCTGAAAGTTCTCTCCTTTTTAATATAGAAGAAAGAATACTGTGCAGGCAGAGACTGTAATTGTGTCCACCAACTTTTCTTATCACACATTTAATAGAAACAAGAAATCAAGTGACTTGGGAACTCAAATGCCCTACTCTATTCCTTTGTTCATGGTTATTTACCATCTGAATTTACAAAATAAATAATTTAGAACAATGTTTATCAAAGGGAAGGGGACATAATATCTAGTTCAGAAAACCTAAACGTATCTAACTGGAAATTAAGTGCCATAAAATATTTTGGCTTATGAAATAATTAGAAAATGTTACCAACTGGTTAAAAATGTAAATATAAAAATTGTTGACCATAGTGATTTAGAAAAAAATATAGTAATTTAATGGTGGGCAGGAGTGAAGGGAAGAGACAAAAATGTAAGAGAATATAATAAATACCTGAAAGAAAATAAAGAGCTTCTTCTGTAGAAAAAATATTAAAACTTTGATTTTAGTTTAACAATACTGACAGTGTGTATTATTTTAAAATACATGGCTGTAGACAGAGCAGCCATCTTTCTCTACCTCTCCTATAATATAATTTCATTAATCTTTTAATTTCTAGTCACAGAATTTTCCTAAATAAAACTCTTAATTTATATACTTTTCAAAGTTAGCTTCCTCCAAAGATCTATACATTAACAATTAAAAAGTTAAAGCTACTCTGATATAAAGGGGGAGACTCAAAGTGGGATAGGGAGGGAGAGCATGGGAGGATGATTATTTCTTGATAAGGAAGAGGGGTGGGAGGAAAAGGGAGGGGGAAGGGGAATAGCAAGGATAGGGGAGTGTGATGGTCATCATTATACAAAATATATGTAAGAAGATTTGAAGTTGGTATCAACATACCTTATATACAAACAGAGATATGAAAAATTGTGGTATATATGTGTATTAACAATTGTAATGATAAAAGGAACTAGTTTTATAAGCAAAAACTTGAATAAACATTTAAAAAATTATACTGAATAAAAAAAGTTAAAGCTATAACAATTTTCCCCTAAAATAATTGTCACTTCACAAAATTACTTGTGTTAAAAAATGATTCCTATATTGAGTTTATTTTATTGATGGTAATATAACTTGAATACAGAGCATTTTATAGATATTAGCTAGTTGATCAGATTTTATTTCAAAATTCTATGCATTTTAAATGTAATACTTGGAAGAAAGGCAGGAAAATGGCAGTTATAGAATGATCATGTGGTCAAACCAAGTGAGAGGTTAAATGAAAACTAATTCATTTATTCACTCAAGAAACATTTATTTGAATGGTTTCCATGAGAAAGGATTACTGCTAAGTGAAGGAGAGAGATTACAAATATGAATACAGTTGCCATGCTTAAGGAGCACATAATTTATTAGGAAAACCAGATAAATGAACATCTGCATAATACAGGGCATGCCAAAATTAATATTCTTTATAGAGATATGTCATAGAGTACAAGAGACAAAGACATAGCCTCAGATGTAGTAAGGTTCTGCAAGGTGACATATGTGCAAATGACAGTGATGACACATTCCTATATGCACTATATGGTGTATGTCTTTTGAAGGGGAAGAGTAGGGAAAGGCAATGATAAAAGAATTGTTGCCTACAGAGGAGCACTGACCAAAGATCCAGAGGTCTTGGAGATGATAAAACATAAAACACTGATTAATATAGCTAGAGAAGTGGCTAGAAAGTCAGGATGTGGCTGGTTCATAGTAAGTCTTGAATACCATACTGAGGAATTTCAACTTTGGTAATGGGAACTACTAACAGTTTTTTTAAAAGGCAATGGTATATTGCTAACCTTCAGAAAGGTAATGGGAACTACTATAGGTTTCTGACATGTGCTTTTTAAAATGTTTTAGGATAATAACTCCAAATGCATTACTTTTTTATTAGTTTTGGGGTGGCAAAAGGTGACCAATAGCTAAATTTATGCAGAGAAAAAATGAGATTCTTTCTAAGATAGTCAGTGAGTCTAGTTAGGATTTGATACCAAAGAAAAAGGGGAGTAATAAAAAAAAAAAAACCTGATGGCATCAAATGAGACAAACATTACAAATATATTACAGAATGACAGGGAAGAGGGCTTGAGTAAAGGCTATAATGGACACTGAGGGAGTTATTTCTTTTTTTTAAATTTGTTTTAATTAGTTACACATGACAGTACAATGATCTTGACATATTGAGGGAGTTATTTCTATGAAGTAAAAAGAGGTGGAATGAATGGGAAATTATTCTTTACCATGTTTATATGCTACGGACACCTTTCTCAGTTGATACACTCTTTTCAAAGTAATGCTTTTAAATATGTAAAACAAAAACATAGGGTTGCATTTCAAAGGAAGCCAATTATACTGAAGTATAGTCATTAAAATATTAAAAACTGCAACAGTGAAATATATGTCTTTTTATTAACACATTAAAATAAAAAGATGAAGCAGAAGATCTAAAAAATGATCACGATTTAGAAATAGTTAAAAATGCAAATGAGGGGCCAGGGTTGTGGCTCAGCCCTAGAGCACTTGCCTAGCATACATGAGACACTGGGTTGGATCGCTGGCACCATATAAAAATAAACAAATAAAATAAGGGTATTGTGTCCATCTACAACTAAATTTTTTTTAAAAAAGTGCAAATGATACTTCAGAGTATTTACTTCAACTGGAATATGATTTCTGCTATTAATAATGAGCTTGTTGCTTACATTCATAATTGAGAGAAATGCTAAATATCAATTAGAGGATATGAAAATAAAGATGTAAATTTTTCCCATCAGGCATCACAGAACCAATGGAACACAGGTTGAAAATGCCTGGTAAAGATATAAGATTTTGCTGAAAAAGAGATGATGGCATATGTTAGGCAAGAAAAGATTAAGATACAGAAAGATATTTTGGGTGGTGGTGGAAAGCAATAGAAGAGTTTCAAAAGAAGTCTTTTCTCCCCTTTTTTGGGTATAAAAACTTTAAAATAATAGTTTCAGTGCAGCAGGAGATGAAAGATATGTGCGTGCACATATGTGTATAAAAAAGAATAATAGACTGTAACTTTAAAAAGAAAGGAAAACAGTAAAGTAGGGAAAACAACAGACTTGGTTCTATCAGGAAACCAATGACTTTCTTTTATCCTATAATTCTCTGGTAACCAGCCTTCAACCCTCAACTCTGTACTATTCCCCAGTCTCCATAAGATTCAGTGGGCCAAGATGGAATGGGAGTAAAGAGAGACAAGGAAAAAGGCCTCTGGCAGGGAACTACCAGTCAAGGGAGCAGAAAGTTAATTTTTGCTGCTGTTCCACCTCCTTTTCTAAGACTGTTTACTCTTTCCCAGCACTGCAGATTCCTAGTGGCTTTACATTGCCATTTGGCAGTCTACTTCCATTCTTGTTACTCCTTCCAACATCTTTCCCACCAAAAATCCAAACTCCAAAAGAAAGATCAGTGAGAGTGTTAAGACACTTAAATGGTTAAAATAATTAAACATTTAAATGTGAAGAATTCTTGAGATAAGGAATATTCTGTGGATATTATAAGGATACTTAGATAAAATGATTGAGGAAATTGTTAAATATAAAATTTTAGTATCTACTATTCTCAACCTCCTTCCTTATACTTGCACCTTACTTCCTGTGTGTGTGTATATATGTATGAGTGTATGCACACACATGTGTGCAGGAGTTAAGAGGCTGGGAGTTAGAACCAATTTACCCCACTTCTCATTCTTGGAAGAAAATTTTAAATCTTTGGATTTGGTAAACAAAAAACTAACAGGGAAGTAAACATTTGGCAATTAAATGTATCAGTGTTCAAAACAAGAATTTCTAAAAATAAGTGACCATTTTATTTGACCTTCTAATTCTGAATGTCTTTCTAAGAGGTAACACAAAAAGTTGAATAAGAGACTATTGCACATTGAGAAGTATGAGAATTCTATATACTATAGGTTTACAAATGAAAATCATTTCAAGATTATGACATATGTATATCTATGTTGAACTATCTTGCTTACACTAGGTACATACTATCAAGTAAGTCTCAATCTATTAAAATGCACATAAAAGTTAAGCACTCATTTGCTATCAAAGTAGGAAATAAACATTTATGATCTACCTGTTATATTGAAGACTGTGTAGGCCCAAGACTCAGCACCCAGTAGCACACTTGCCAAATTAACATTCTGGTTTCTGGCTGTCACTCAGGAGTTCCAAAGTGCTTTCTCCACCTGCCACATCTTCATTCAGGTGCTTTCACAGCATGGGTGGGTCTAGAAGCTAAGTTGCAGCTGCCAACCTGGTACATGCTTCATAGCCAGCCAGGCCAGCAGAAAAATATCCTACCTCAACCAAATTCACAAAATCAATTTTCTGAAGTTTTTTTTTTCCCTTATAAGGTAATTCCTTATTGTTTTTTAAAAAATCACACTTGAAAAAATATACCATCTATTCTCTGGGGCTAGTCTCAGCATAGAAAATCTTTCTGATTTCTGTGATCAGGATTTAACTTCAAACATTAGCTGCCGCTTGCTCCTTGCTGATGTTCTTATTCAAAACGGAGGTTTTAAAGACCCTAGGACCAGTCTGAGGCTCTCTCATTAATATATCAGAAGATCTCCAAGAATACTGAAAAGTACGTAACTTAATGGGGAAATAAAAGGGCAGTGTGTGATGCATTAGGAGTTTGTTATTTGTGTTACTTATAGGAGTCACCAGAATCACTACCAATTTCCATTCTCAAGATGTTCTAAATGTTCTAAATGCTGAATTCTATGATTCTTTTGGTCAGTTTATTTTTCCCATCCATAAACAGGACAGGAAAGAGACATTAATTTGTACTTCCAAAGCTAACCATCTTGGAGTAAGGGTGGGAGTTTTCAAAAAATACTCCCTGATACACTGTTAAACTAATAAAGAGAGCATAGTTGTCATCATGGAAAAGTCACAGGTACCTTCTCAACTTCTAATGCCCAGAAAACCTCTAGAAGGGAGTGCAACAGGGCCAGAAGTGTGCAGATTAGTAGGGAAACTACATTTAAGGACTCAAATGCTTTAAATACAAGCTAGGAAATCAGATAATTTTGAAAGTTACACCATTCTGTCCTTACACAAAGAGGACAAAAGCCCTGACAATCCAAAGCATAAGATTTATTTTTCTTATTCACAGGCCTTCAGTGATGATGATGGTTTTAAACTCTAAGGTACATAAATATTTAAACAACAGTAACAAAAAATATGACTCTTACTCAAGTACTGATTTAATAATTTACCATGAGATACTTGATTTCAAAGCTGACATACAGATATTTGCACTAGACAAACTTTTTCAAAGCCTTGAGAAAAATTCAAATTGAGAGTAGGGCATGATACATAAAAAATAAGTTACAAGCAGACAGATAACTCACATAAAATTCCAATTAACTCTATTGTTATAAAAAATAAAATTTTAGACTATTTAGAAATGGATCATAATAAAATGTTCACCTATGAGATGTGGCCAAACTGATAATCCATGATGTAAATTTTTTAATAGATATAAAAAGGAATTAAACGTTTAAATCAGAAAGGTTAATATGAGCAAACAATTCAAAATAAAGCTGAACAAAAGAATAAAATTAAAGGCAGAAATAAATAAATTAGGAAGCAAAAATAAGTAAAACTGGTTAATAAGGATTAGAGGTACAGCTCAGTGGCAGAATGCATTCTTAGTACGCAAAGGCCCTGGGTTCAACACTCAGAATCAAAAACAAGTGATTTGGTGAATAAAATGAAAAGCTGGTTCTAAATGCTGAATGAATGAACAAATGAATGAGTGAATAACTTCAGAAAAGTATAACCAAGAGGTCAGAGAACACTACAACTATATAATATAAATTTAATATTCAATGAAATGGGTTAAATGTCAACATTTCTGAATAAAACATTATGTCAATAAATTAAGAATCCATAATCAAAGTTGACTTAAGCAGTTGCAAGTATGAATAACCATGGAAGAATAAAAACTTTTTTTAAGATTTCTATATGACATTCCATTCCTGCCAAAGTATGTTATATCAATAGGTTCTATGAATGTGTTCTAGCAAAACCTCAAAGCATCAAGTCTCTCTTCTGTTTCTTAGATTATTCTAAGGCACCAAAGATGGAAGGCATCCCAACTAGTTTGTGAGGCTAGCATAACTCTGTTGATAAAAACCCACAGGTACCACCCAAACTTATCAAATATACATAGACTCTTACTTATATAAAAAGTCCTAAATTTAACAAAAGTAAATTATATGGTATATTGAAAGTTTTAAAATATACATTAAGAGATTTTTCTAACATTAAACAACTTTGTTAACCAACTCATTACATGTATTGGTTAAATGCTTTTATTGGATTGATGTGAAAGATGTTATATCAAGAGTGTCTAGATTTTTGGTTTACGCAGCTGAGAAGGAGACAGTATTTACTAAGAAAGGAACAGATTTGGGATAAAAGTTTTGTTGATAGTTTTAGTTTCAGATACCAATAGAGCTCTCTACAAAGCAGCAGTGTACAAGACAGAAGTCAAGACTGAAGACATAATGTGGTAATTATCAGTTCACAGATGGTATTTTAAAATATAATATTGGATAGACTTGTTTTCGAAGAGCACAGAAAAAAGTATAGAAGCACACTTTTAATAATCTAAGGACAGGAAGGCACCATCTAGATTAGTGGCTACCATATTTTACTGTAGTTTATATTTGCTATATCTAATCATTTTTTGGCAAGCTAAATTAGGATTTCAGCACAAAAAAATTTAATAAAAATCTCATGGTATCACAATGTGATTTGACAGTTTCTTAAAATTTTTGTTTCAGTTTCACTGCACTTTGGAGGCTTGTAAATTATTAGAAGCTTTTTTTTTGAGAGAAGGGCAGTAGTTTTCAAACAGTTTTCTGCAAAGATGCATAAGGAAATTGGTAAGGGGAGGCACAGGGACTCTCACTTTAAGACTTTAGTTGAATGAAGAGTTTTTTTCCCAGAGGATATAAACTGTTGTCACTGACTTTTAACCAAATTTTTTAGATATGACATAACAAGTGGACAACTGTGAAAAGAATAGGTCTCAAATTTTAAAATAGCGAGACAAGGATAGAATAATTAAATGGAATGAAAATAGTAAATTTTCAGCCTTACTAGAGTTACAATAGTTGACTATTTGCTCAATTAAAAATGAAGAGATGATATCTAAATATTAGAAATGTATAGTTGCAGACATTTCTTAAAAGATCCTTTAGGAGCTAGGGTATAGGTCAGTGGTTGAATGCTTATCTACCTATGTGAAGCCCTGGTTCAATCTCAAGAATCACCACCACCACCAAAATAAAAACAAAAAGACCTTAAGGCTTTAATAATTTAAGGTAATCCCCATTACATGCAAAGCTATTTTTAAGTTTCTTACATTTAACTATTACAGATATTGTTGGAACATGTTTATATAAGCAAAAGACACCTGTACTAGAAAATAGCCACAAGCATTTTGAAAAGTAGAAGTCCCATTAAAGTCAGAAGTAAGTCCTAAATGCTTCTAATTAATCAGTACTAGTCTCTGATTTAAGCCAATGAAGTAAGACAAGAAAAAAGGATAAAATAAAAATATTGAAAAAAACCACATACTAATGGGTCATTAAGTATCCTGAAAATAAAGAGACACAATTGAAACAGAGTTGGAACTACATCTTAATAATTTATCTAATAGTATATTAAAAAGAATTCTGTAAGGTAGCCAAATGGTTATATAAAATAAATAACTTTTAAAAAATCAACTACTAGCAGGTATAAAATATAGATGAATATCCCTTATCCAAAATGCTTGGGACCAGTAATGTTTCAGATTTTGAATGTTGTTGAATTTTGGAACATTTGTATACACATAATGAGATAACTTGAGGATGGGACCCAAGATTAAACATAAAATGAATTTATGTTTCATATTTAGTTTACATACATAATAAGTGAAAATCACAATAAGATGGCTAAGGACTTAGAGACTTCAATATACATTATTAATCAATACCCACAATCATTATAGTATCATGATGATAAGTATTACTATAACCATTTTATAGGCAAAGAAACTGAGGCTTAGGGAAATTAATGAGAATTTGCACAAGATCACATACATAACCAGTAAGTGTCCTAACAAGCATCAAATTCAATTTCTCTGACTCCACAAAATGAGCTTCTTAGCACTATACTCATGATGGTATACCAAATGAACAAAGAAGACTGTGGAGAAATAGTGATGAGAACTAAGAAGTGAACGCTCATGTATTACTGATAGATTACTAATTACTAATTGCCCCTAGAGGGCAATTTTCATGATCACATCTTGGAATGTGTTAAAAATATACTTAGGTAGACATTGATTTCTATACACAGACATTTATCACACTGTTTATTACAACTAAAAAAACTGGTTATGATCAATGATTTCTTATATTGTTAGTGCATAGTTGTTCATAGTAGGCCTTAATAATTTTATTTCTGTGATACAGTTGCAACATATCTCTTTTTTCATCTCTAATTTTATTTGGGTCTTCTTTCTCTTTTTTTTCTTGGTTTGCTCACAATCTAAATATAAAACAATATAAACCTGATCAAATTATAATACTTAAGATATGCTGAATGTCATTCAGCCAGTAAAAACAATTTCTTAAAAGAATACTGAGTGACATAGGAAAACTCGTATGAAAAGCAAGTAATAAAACTATAATGCATACACTTTTGGGGAGTTGGGGGGATACCTGGAATTAAACTCAAGGGGTTGAGGGGGATACCCGGGATTAAACACCTGACCACTGAACCACATCCCCAGCCCTCTTTTGTATTTTATTTAGAGACTAGGTCTCACTGAGTTGCTTAGCACTTCAAGTTTGCTGAGGTTTGGCTTTGACCTCACAATCCTCCTGTCTTAGCCTCCCTAGTCACTGGGATTACAGGCATGCACCAATCCGCCCAGCAATGCATACACTTTCACAAGGATTTTTTTACAATGAAATTTTAAAAAATGAAAACAAGAACACCAATATTTTAAGTTACATATAAGCAAGAAATATAGATTATTTCACTATCATTTTGTACTTTTCCTGTATTTTATAAATGTGATAAAATGTGCCAAAATATTAAATTCTAAATCTAATTTAAAAGGATAAAATGAAGTAGTCAAAATAGTAAAAATGGATTTTAGAAAACACCTCCTCATTAAAACTATTTTTCCTATGCATGATAGTGCTAATTTAACACAATTATGCCCATGATTTTTATTACTTAAGCCACTTTTCTATCTTAGCAAAAATAGAAATAATGTATTTTATCTAAAATAGATCATTTATTGCACATAGATCTGCACTAGTCATTTTAAATTAAAGCAAAATTTCAGAAGTATTTAATTCACTAACTCAATGGGGCCAAAGAACAAGAACACAAACATTAAAAAAGCATAAGTCAACAATGAGGAGACAGCCTCAATTATATGGGAAAACTTCCCTGTAGATGTACAAAATAATAAAAATAAATTATAAAGTAAAAGCCTAGATTTCAAACAGACTAAATCTCAGAATAAGGATAAAATAAGCCCACCAATTTTGAATGGGAAATGAGTACAGATGACTAAGAACAAAGAACAAAAACTAATTTTAGCTTTATCTTAAAAGTAATAGATTTAAAAGCCCTCTGAAAAATCTAAAATATAAGCTGACATTTTAGTAACAATAAAAGTAAACTTGATTTTATAGAAGTTTCATTATTGGCATTTCCAAGCACTTGGAACATAACTGAGAGCCAGAGAAAAAGTAGAAAAACAAAACAAATAAATAAAATCTCTGTCCAATGAAATGAATGGATACTGCTAATTCATTTCATAATATTGAATTGTTCTTTGTGCTAAGTACTTTTACTTTCATTATCTTGAATTATGAGAAAACAACTCTGCAAAGTTAATGTGTTTCATAGGTGAGTAATCAAAGAGATATTAAGAGACTTTCCTAGAGTCACAGGTAGAATATGGCAGGGCCAGAATTCAACTGTGTATCTACCTTAGGTCACAGCCTTAACCTGCTCTCTTCATACAGTGTGAACATTCACTTCTCAATCTAGACTATTTGAACATCCTAT